CGGTGTGTGTTCCCTTCCTCGCGCTACGGCTGCTGGCCGGCGCCTGGCGCCCCCCTGCCGCCCACCCAGCGCGCCCGCATGTGTGCGTGCCGCTGAACTCCCCCCCCGCAGGTCCAGTTCACGTCTGCGGGCGTGGGTGGCGCGGAGGAGGGCGGCGAGGGCGAGGCGATGGTGCGGGGCCTGCAGGCCACGCGGCTGGCTGTGGATGAGAAGCTGGACAAGTCACGCATCCAGGCGGGTAGTGGGGGAGGGGGTGCAGGCGCAGGCAGGCGTCGGCGGTGGGCTGGGGCAGCTGCGGGGCAGGCGGGGAGCGGGGTGGTCAAGAGGCGGCGCCGGGACATGCCCCCGTGGCGCTGCTGGGCACCGGCGTGGGTGGGGGATTGGAGGGGCTGCCGCACGCTGAGGTGCCTCTGCGTGCCTGCTGGCCTCCCCCCGCCCCCCTCCCTGCAGCTGTTTGCCGGCGGGCGGGCGCTCAAGGCGGCTGAGGTGGAGTCTGAGCAGGACGAGGAGGAGGGGGAGAGCGATAGGGAGGAGGAGAGCGAGGAGGAGGAGGAGGAGGGCGGCAGCGGCTCTGAGCTGGGGTCTGACTCTGAGGGGGAGCAGGAGGAGGGAGAGGGGCAGGTGAGCCGCTGCTGCCAGTTTCCCGTGGGCCGCCTTTGCTGCACCGATGCTGCTGGGGCGCTGTTGGGCGGGTGTTGCTTGGGCTGTGCTGCGCGCCGCTCTGCAGGTTCAAGCACAAGCTCATCTTGGCTTTTGGTGTGTGGGGTGCCTCTGCAGGCGGGGCGGCGCTCTGGCGGCGCCACCCGGCAGCAGGTGGTGGTGGCGGCGGACGGCCGCGTGCGGCGGCGGGCTGTGTTTGGCGCCGATGCTCTGCCGGCTGGCGAGGATGGCAGCAGCAGCGAGGATGAGGATGAGGAGGATGAGGAGGGCGAGGACTATAGCAGCAGCGAGGAGGAGGAGGGGGGTGGCGCCGCGGGCAGGCAACGGCGGCAGCTGGGCGCGGCGGCGGCAGGCTCGCACTCGGATTCAGATTCAGAGCAGGAGGATGGGGAGGGCGGGGCCGAGGATTCTGGGGATGATTCGGAGGGCATGGGCGCCGCAGCCGCCTGGAAAGCAGACATGTTGCAGCGGGCGGCGGCGCTGTTCAGGTGGGCTGGGGCCTGAGCCTGGGCGGCAACGCCAGCCTGGCACTGCATGGCGCCGCCTGCCTGCCCCTGCACGCTGCCGTTGCCGTGCTTGTGCGCCGGTGGCTGCGGCGGCGGCAGGGCTGGCGGGGTAGGGCAGGGGCATCAGCCCATGCAGGCCCCCCGGCCTTCCTCCTCACCCATGTGCCCTCCCTGCCGCCTGCAGCACGCGAGGCGCCGACCTCCACTCTTACATCTACGGCACCAGGGCCACGGCAGACGTGGGTGGCAGGCAGCCGCCCGGCGCCGCCTCGGCTTTGTCTGGCTCTCGGCGCTGCACACACACACACACACACACACACAGACCACTGATTGGAACGGGGCTGCTCCCTTCTGGTGCGGGTGCAGGGCGGGCAGGGTGGCGCGCTGGCCACCGGCGGCGGCGGCGGCCCAGATGACGACGACGAGCTGTTCAGGCCCAAGCGCCCGCAGGCTGCAGGTAGGCTTTGCCGCGGCAGGGTGGCCAGCCCTGGCTGGCTGCCGCGGCCCAGGCGTCTGCTGCGCTGGCTCTCGCCCTCCGCAGCTAACCCTGCCCCCCCGCTGCTGCCGCCGCGTGCCGTGCAGGCCAGGAGCAGGCGGCTGCAGGCGGCGGCGGCGACGCGCTGGACGCGCTGGACAGCAGCAGGGTGGCGGTACCGCCCGAGGTACTGGCGGCGTGGCGGGACGAGGGCGCCGCCGAGCGCCTGCGCAACCGCTTCGCCACGGGTGAGCGGCCCGGGTTGGGAGCCGTGGCTGCTGGCTGGCAGCTGGCTGCTGGCTGCTGTGCATGGTTGGGAGCAGGGCGTTGGTTGGCAGCCTTCTGAAGGGCCTGCCTGTTCTGGCGTGCACGCCGCCTGGCGGCGCCTTCACGGGCCAGGGGTGGCCGGCATCGACGGTCCCCCTCGCCTGCCTGCCTCCCTTGCCCTGCAGGGGACTGGGGCGAGGGCGAGGTGCGGGCGGCTGCTAGGCCTGCAGAGGACGGGGAGGAGGAGGGGGAGGAGGGCGGCGAGGTGTATGGCGATTTTGAGGACCTGGAGACGGGTGCGTGTGGGCGCATGCGGGTGTGCCTGTGTCCGTACCTGGTTCGTGTGCCTGTGTGTGGGAGTGCTGGGCGGGTGCGCACTTGGGCGGCAGCGCTGGGCGCCAGCGCCGGGCGAGTGGGGCAGTGCGAGGCGGCGCCGGCGAGGCCGGGCAGGCGGGCACCCAGTCACGAACCGGCACCCCACTCCACCGCTGCAGGCGAGCGGTTTGCCGGCAGCTCCGACCCCGCCACCCGCGCCGCGGCTGCCGCCATCAGGGCCGCCGGGGAGGAGGATCTGGCGGAGGCGCGGCGCGCCAAGAAGGCGGCCTTTGACGCCGAGTACGACCAGGGTGGGTGGCGCCGGCGCGGCTGGGCGTGGTGTGGCGGTGTGGGGGTGTTGCCGTGAGGCTGGTAGTGATGGTGTGTGCGCTGCAAGGGGGCAGGGCGTCGGCCTGGGCGAGCGGGCGGGCTGCCGGGGTGGCTGTGCTGGCGTCCCCGCGGCAAGCGTGTGCCCCCCGCCCTCTTCCTGGCTGCAGGTGGCGCCAAGGCGGTGCAGGATGACGCTCCGGGGGCCAAGCCCAAGCACAAGGCGGAGGCGGAGGTGCGGCGAGGCATCCCTGTCCTGCTGCCCCGGCGCTCCCCGGCCCTGCCCTGCCTCGCCCCCCTCGCCAGCTCACCGTACCTCTCTTCCTCTCTCTCTCTCACAATACCACACCCGCTGCCGTCGCCCCACGCGCCGACGCAAGGGACGCTGGTGGGA